TGCTTCACTTTATAGCCTTCCATCTCAAATGCATGATCATAACTTCCATAAATGATTTCAGCTGTTAATTAGGATTCCAGATCTTCTTCTTTCCATTTATTTCGGGCTCTGATATATTTTGCCTTATCGTTTCCAATGCCTTTCTTCATGGCAAACTCAACGACACCATCTTTATGCGTCAGCCTCCGGGATGCTCGATACATCCAATCCACATTATGTGTGCCATCTTCAAAAATTTGCCTATGGCTTTAAAAGGCCTCGCCAATGGTTTGATCCTTCTCCTCTCATCCAAAACATATTGGGTTCCAATCAAGTAAAACCAACTCTTCTCTCCAACCCGCTCATTTTAAACACCTTGTTGGCCCCTTATAATACCTCACAATCACAAGACCAGACATCTAGTTTTTCGTTAATAGCCAATTGCAACATCTTCACGATCCACTACTTCACTATCAACAGCTCAAGCGCCTGCTCCGCTTAGGGCTGTAAACGAGCCGAGCTTGAGCGAGCTCAGACTTGGCTCGTGTTCGGCTCATTCGAAATAGCTCGTGTTCGAAATCGGCTTGTGTTCGAAATCGGCTCGTGAACAGTGTGTTCGCGTTCGGCTCGATTTAAATATTTGTATTCGTGTTCTACTCGAAATTGGCTCGTTAAACTAAAATTGAGAAAAATAAATGTAAAGTGTGGGATTCGAACCTGAATCAAATATATACAAAAGAAGACATTAACTACATTAACACATGAGTTGTTATGATTTAAACTTAGACATAAATATATATAATATATTATTATATAAATAATATATGTAACATATTGTTATATAAAAAGAGTTATATAATTTTTTTTTCGAGTCATTTTGAGCCGAACACGAGCGAACAAACTGTTGTTCGTGTTCAACTCGTTTACATTTCAAGCTTAAAAATTTGTTCGTGTTCGGCTCATTAGGCTTAATGAACGAGCCGAACATGAGCTGTTCACGAACAAGGAGCCAAATTGACAGCCCTAGCTCAAATATCAAAATTCATGGTAAAACTCCTACCTTAATTTTGTAAATGTCAATGTTTGGGATGATTTGTATGTAATTATCCCTTTAATTTTTTAGATTAGGGGCTGCTTGGATATAAAGTAATAAAGATTTAATAATATTATAGTTGAATAAATTTTAACTAACTATTGATATATTGTGGAGAATTAGGTTTAAAAATTGATGTAAATATATTTTTTTTTATTTCATCAAAGTTTACTAAAAATGAATTTAAATCAAATGTAAGAATGTTTCATTATTTAATGATATTAGTTTGCAGTTTTTGATAAGGGTATAATCTTTTGTAGTTTGTTTTGTATAAATTTTTGGGGTTTTTTTATATATAACATCTAAAATTTTCGTATTTACGTTTCTCACAATAAAACTTTCATATTTACCTTTTTCTCATCAAAATTGTTATAATTACAAGCTTCATATAAGTAGCATTCATTATCACATTTTAATAATAAAATTTATCTTTTTAACTATAGATAAAGAGCTATTAGTTAAAAAATGAAACTATGGGTGTGAGATAGCTAAATTCATGAGAATTATATATATATATGTAATTTTCTTTAGTTTTTTTATTATTTAAAATAAATAAATAACAAGTGAAAGTTTAAAATAGCTTCCTATCAAATTCATTTTCAAGTTTTCTTTAATTAGGGTTAAAATATTTCTCACATAGGACTATTTTAGTCCATTTTTTTAAGATTTTGGGATTAAATAGATATGTTTATACTCTTGGACTAAAATAACCTTTTATTGGATAATTTTAAATTTTTTCTTAATAAATATTGACACTTATTAACATGGAGTCCAAGTGAAATAAGGAAGATGGTTAAAGAGAGATTTGTTTTTGAAAAGACTACTAAAATATACAGTTACTATAAATTTATTAAATTACATTTTTGTAATAAATTTTTTTCTTAAATAAAGTTAAATTACACACACACACCATCAATAAATTTTTATCATCTAACACAAATCTTGAGGCATAATATAGATCTCTAGACAATTTTTAGAGGAAGAAATGTTTATATTGATCAGTTTGACAAGATGGACCAAACAGTACCAAAATCTGTCAAATACGAGTGAAATCAAGTATGGATTAAGCTATTAAACCGTTTTTGAAAACTTTCAAGGCATAATGGGAAGGTCATACATATTTCGACTACGACCTATTTATAGTCAAATCAAGTCTCTTGACAAGACGAATTCAACATACCCAAGATCATTCATATTCAACATCATTAAGTCTCTAAAATGTCTATTGCATGTCATTTGATTAAATGGATCTCTGGATCGTTCGATCAATGGTATAAATTCTTTTCTTATTTGCATCATGGACCATATATAGAGGCCTAACCTACCTCATGAGTGAGGACCTAAACCTTGGACAAGAGGAATACTAGAGCTTTCAGAAGAGAGAGCTGCAACCTAGCATCTTGCACCATAGGGTCGGCCAACTCCAGCTGCTGCCCTTTGCATATGTTGCCTCTGATCAGTCAAATCAGATTGTCGCCTTCGGCCAACTCCAATCGCCACCGCCGACTCGGCCAACTCTCGTTATTGTCACCTCAACCAACTTTGGCCTTCGTTGCCTCGACCAACTGCCGCCATTGTCGCCTCGACCAACTTTGGCCTCCCCCACCTCCAGCAAACTCTGACCGTCAGCTGTTTGCCACTGTCAACCACCATCGTTCGCCGCTCGCTCACATACAGATGTGATCCGTTACCTTTTCACGTCTATGGGAAAGAGGTCTTATTTGTACCCATTAACTCATAGTGAAATATTTCAACTAGACGCGACCCTTTGATTTTTTCACTTTTTAGGATTTCCACATAAAAACCTCTAATATTCCTATTGATTATTTTCTTTCATCCGAGTACTTGGATTCTCATAAAACTCTAAGAAAATAATTCACACTATACCACTAGGACTGTCAAAACAGCTCGTTATTCACGAACAGCTCGTGTTTAACTCATTAATTAAGTTAACAAGCCGAATATGAATAAAGATTTGTTCGTTTCTGTTTGGCTCTTTTTGGTTCGAAATACTTCATCAATTATATATATATATATATTGATGAGTAGTATTTTTAAAAAATTTAACTAACTACTGACCAAAGTAAAATATGTTGAGATTTTCGTACATCTTTTATACTATTTTTAATGATATTCCACTTTAAAGAAATGTATTTTTGATGTTTTGTTGCGGAAATGATGAATTAAGGTCAATGGAGCAAAAAGATGCAAAAAAGAGCGAATTTGGAGCAAAAAGGATCAAAATGTGGAGAATTGCACTAGGGCGCTGAAGGCGCCATCGACGCCGCCGACGACGAGCTTTTCCCGAGGCTACAGGACAAAAT